GGGTTCTGTCAACTGTGTGGTCCAAAATAAATGTAAATGATCTAATACTAGTTTCAAGTTCACTTAAATTTCAGTTGTATCCTCTTCCAAGATCAACATATACCATCCTAGTGGGAAAAAAGTTGGGAAGGAAATACATAAACATGAAAATAGTAATTTTTTTTTCCTTAGAAAGGTTATATTTATGTTTTTCTTCTTTCTGCCTTTCAATGAAGTTCAAATAGACCCTAACATACACATATTATTTTAAAATAAAAAATTTTCTTAGAAAATAAAAAATTCTGTTTTTAAAGTTCACGATAATGTTGTAGCTTCTCAAGTCAAGTCAACACTTCTAAATTCTAGAAACTTGCCCAACCCTAAAGCACAGGCAGAGATGCATAGGCTGATATAATTTTATAAATTTGTACTTAAAATATCTTTCATTAGCTTGGTTCACCTCAACACCACCATTTAAAACACAGTTTTAGTTATTTACACATCCCTCTTCCCTAGTAGCCTGTCAGCTCCTTGCTCACAGTTGAATTCCAAGTTGAATCCATGGTTGAATCACTTAAAGCACAGTGCTGGTAATGTGACAGACACCGAGCAAATGTTTGTAGAATGAAGATTGAATCTTCTCTCGCTTTCTCAAAGACAGGGTCCTTTGATAAGTTTTTCGAAACCGGCCTCCAAGTGACAAGTCAACAGTCTATGGTGTGGCCATGCATTTGGTTACAAATTCATGTCATGTTTAATCAGTCTACATTTTTCTTTCTCCCTCTATCAAAGCCTTGCTTAAATAAAACCCAGGTCTGCACAACAAAGGTTTTTTAGTGCATCTTATTCCCCAGGGAATCAGGAGGGCTTATTCATTCATTTATCCCACAAATACTAATTAACACATATGATCTTCCAGTTTATGTACAGTAGTCCCCCCTTATCCTTGGGGGATATGTTCCAAGACCTTCAGTAGATGTCTGAAACCACAGATAGTACCAAACCCTATATATACAATATTTTTCCCTATACCTACAGATCTATTATAAAGCTTAATTTATAAATTAGGCACAGTAAAAGATTAGCAACAATAACTAATAATAAAATAGAACAATTATAACAATATACTGTAATAAAAGTTGTATGTTACTATACTGTACTCACCTTTTCACTTAAAGGAAGCACTTTACAGCTTCTCTTTGGCATATCCGAATTGCCAGCATCACTGCTCTTGAACTTTGGGGCCACTGTTAAGTAAAATCAGGGTTCCTTGAACACAAACACTGTGATACGAGGACAGTTGATCTGATAACCGAGACAGCTACTAAGTAACCATGGGTGGGGAGTGTATGCAGTGTGGATACACTGGACAAAGGATGAGTCATGCCCTGTGCAGGATGGAGCAGGACGGAGTGGGGGACTGGGACAGAGTGAGATTTCAGAATGGTGCGCAATTTAAAACTTGTAAATTGTTTATTTCTGGAATTTTCAAATTAGTATTTTTGGACCATGGTTGACCACAGATAACTGAAACCGCAGAAGGTGGAACAGTTGATAAGGGAGGACTGCTGTATCTACTAAATGCTACTTTTCCTCAAATGTATTATTCTAAACATAGTTTTGATCATATCACTTCCCTGCTCAAAAGTCATCAGTGACGATTCAGATTCTTACTAAATTAAGTCCAAATACCTTAGCTTGGTATTTAGGACCCTCCATGCTCAGACCCTATCTTTCATTTCTAGCCCTATCTTCCCTATACTTGTGCTATGCTTCCGTTAGAAACTTAGTGTTCCCAGAAGTCAACAACATTTCCTTATGACTTTAGTTATGCTTTTCCCTTTACTTCTGTCCCTCTCTCCCCAACTCATTCCTTGGCCCAAAACACTTCTCATTGCCAATATTGTCTCAGCTCTTGAGTCAGGGCCACAATGAGAAATGGGAACCATAAAATAAGTATACAGAGAGGCTAATGTTGCCAAGGGTCATGTACTGCTTGGTTCATTTGGCAGGAGGGGCTCTTTTTGACCCCTTCACTGAATTAGCCATATACTCCAATGCCACCTGTCAAAGTATGTCTATCTTATGCTCATATGCATATAAAGAGAGTAACACTCTTCTGAGCACTTTATTATTACTTCTCCTAAAGACCTGTTGCATTTTGTTTTACATTGAAATTTGCATTTCTCATATATTTCCAACTTAATTGAAATTTTTTAAGAGTGGGGATTAATTTTTGTACCTCACAATGTCTGGCTCATTATAGCAGAGTTAATATTTATAGAATGAATAAATATATGTTTCATTACCATCTAGCTTTAAGCTCCATGTGGGCAAATAATATATCCTATGCTTCTTTTGTATCCTGACAGTGGAAAAGCAA